GCTCTGTGTACCTGAGTGGGTGGCAGATAGCCACATAACGGTCATAGATCATTGCAGCCAGGAGCAGGCACTCTGTAGTGCCCAAAGCCAGGGTCAAGAATATCTGCAGGGCACAGGCTGGGAAGGAGATGGTACTTCTGGTTTGTAGGAAGTTGGTGAGCATGAGAGGTATGAAGGAGGAGGTGCCACAGTTGTCTATGAGGGAGAGGTAGCTGAGAAAGAAGTACATGGGGTTGTGCAGGTGGGGGTCCAGCATGATCAGCACCATGAGGAGGGAGTTCCCCAGCAGATTCATGCAGTAGATGCCCAGGCAAAGCACAAACAGGACCATTTCTAGGTCATGGTGCCCATGGAGCCCCAGCAGGACATAGTCCATCATGGCTGTCTGGTTTGTCTCCTCCATCTCATCCTCTTTGCTCTTTCATTTGGACCACACAGCTTTTAGAAAGAAGCTCTTGCTGGTGTGGGGACCAAGGGTGCTGCTGGATATGTGACTTGCAGTGTGTCAGCCTCCCTCTCTGGAACCGAGTTTTATCATCTGTACAAGGAGAGAGAGGCCTTCAGGCCTGCATCTGGCCCTCCCAGCTCTGCTGTTCTATGGACTTTGAGGGGAATGTGCAACATCCTGGCTCCCTAGACTCTTGGCTGTTCTTCCCAGGAGATTTCAGAGGGGACAGTAGAATACAAATATATGTGACATGTTTTCTTTTTTTTTTAAAAAGTTCCTACCAATTCAAAGGAACCATCTTTTCTCAGTTATGACTTCCTATTCCTAATAATGCCCACTGTATTTCAGATTCTTTCATTCAGTGATTCATTCATACTCTGTGATAGGTGTTGTTTCAGGTGCTGGGGCTATACCAGTAAGAAAAATAAGAGAAAAAAAAGATTCCACACTGTCTCTGTTGTACCCGCACTTCCTTGACTGAGGTGACATTCTGGGAAGCAGGTATATGATGGCTGATCTTACCCAGTGTCCCTCAGGGCCCTGGGGATGGAACACTTTGGTGTGTAATTCTGAATTATGGTCATTTCTCCTTAAGGAATCAGAAACCATTCATTGCTTTTTCAAACGAACACACATGAACATTTGTACCCTGCCGCAGTCTGGCTGGGCACAATCAGGAGCCACTTGTCAAAAGAAA